GGTGTGCCCGGGCCCGGCGGGGTGTGCGGGCGTGCCCAGTCGCGCTGCTCGGGGGGTGGCGGGGAGCTGGGGTCGCTGGGCGGTGCAGGGGAGAAGGCAGTACTTGCCAGCAGCTTTTGTACTTCCCGCGTTTGCAAGGGATGCGGCAGTGGGGTAGTCGGCTGCTCTCTTAACCTGCTGCTTGTTGTGGTTTTCCTTTACCAACCTTTACCGGGGTTGGTCGGTAAATGGTTGTACTGTGTCGGGAGCAGTGTTTTGTGAGGCTGGCAAGACTTGAGGAGGGGAAAGGTGCTGTGAATACCACGAAAAGATGTCTGCAGCCTCTCGCTGCCTGCTTAGCAGGTAGGTTCCACGCAGCTGTCCTCGGGTGCTGCTGGCAGAGCTATCGGGGCAGTAGCAGTCTTCCCCTGGGGGTGGTCGATGCTGCTGTTGCGTTTCAGTGCCAAGCAGAAAGCTTCTGTTTGCAGGCACCCTGTCCTCCGACAGGCCCTCACAAGCTGAGGGAGTGCCTTCTGCCATCATCTTCCTACGGAACAGGCTGAAGTATGGCCTGAGAGGAGTTAAGGTGGAGAAGATCTGCGTGCAGAGGTTCATCAAGATAGATGACAAAGGCCACCCAGACGTCACCTACTCTGCGGGCTTCCTGGGTGAGTTGGGGAAGGCTGGGGCAGGTACCTCGGGCAGCTCTGCTGCGCTGGAGAGGGATGTTTTGTGAGGCTGGCACAGTCTGGGGAGAAAGATGCTTTTGCAGTGGAGTGGCAGAAAAGTTCGGTATAAGCAGTTGTTACATAGTTTGGAGCTGTGCACTGCAACGAATACCAAAGCCAGATACCTGTAGCCTGTAACTGCCCACTTGTATATGTGTAAATCGCTGTTCAGACTTCAGCCTTTGGGAGTTTTTGTTGATTTGTGCAGTAAAAGATGTGAGTCTGAAGCCTTGCTCAGCAGTCCCTAGTTCTTTTTAAACGTGAGCTTCTTGCTGAGTTACAGTGTCAGGTAACATAGCTAATAACAGCTGCTATTTTATTTCTCTCTCTGCAGTCAGATGTTATTAGCATTGAGAAGACAGGCGAGCGTTTCCGCTTGGTGTGCGATACCGAGGGCCAGTTTGATATTCACCGCATCGCAGCTGAAGAGACCAAGGTGAGGGGCTCCAGCTTGGCGTAAGCGTGGGCCCAGCGTTGTCTGGTGCTTGAAATGAGCGCTTTTGGCTTGGGCTGGGTTACCTTCAGCGGGAGCTTTGGGGTGCGGTTGGCTCTGCTGTGGTGGGGGAGCCTGAGCGTAGGGCTCCGCGAGCTCACCGTGGTCAGAAACATCATACTGCCCATGGTGCAAAAGCCTTGAACTCCTTCCCGGCTCTGTGCTGGAAGCGTTTACAAAACTGGCCTCTGCCCTGGGTGTCAGGGAGTGACTCTTGCACGTGTTTCCTTAACCCAGGCATGTTGGCGTGCCTGAGCTGCGAGTCTGCGCTCTCCTTCGTGTGTTCTCCCTAACAGCAGGCAGTGTGGGCACGCAGTGATACTGAGGGGGAAGGTGGCCGTGCTGTGGCTGGCTGTGGTGTGCGTTTGGGGCCTCCCCGCTCTCCCCATGATAGGCGTTACCTCTGGCTACCACTCTGTGTTGACCCATGAGTCCCAAAGTAGCTGCGAAGGAGTTGGCAGGGAAACCAGGGTGCCCTCGGCAGGAATACAGGTCTCCCTTGGGTCTGGCAGAGTGGCAGCCCCTCCCTCTGCTGTGTGACCATGGGCTACAGGGCAAAATTGGGAAACTGCCCTGACGTGGGCTTTCCTGGGAAGATGCAGCCGTGTTTGTGGAAAGGCTGGAGCCTGGGGTGCACAGCTCTTCCTCGAGCGCAGGTGTTGCCCGGTGAGGCTGTAGCATAGCCACGCAGCAGCCCGACGAGGGGGATTGCTGCAGCCATCACAGCAGTCCCCTGCCCCACGTTGCTGCACGCTGCCTCAGCTGAGCACGG